TCACTACCCCCTGACCAAGATGGGTGCTGAGGACTTGGGTTTTGACCCTGTTTCGTAACATTTGAACGATGGTTCAGTGAGAATTCTCGTCACGCTTATAGGAAAAAAAGAGCGTGAGCCAATGACCATACCCAGCGCTTACAGAGAGTAGAATATGCCACTCAGCCCCCGCCCACTCGAGGCTGATCTCGATGGGGGAGAGCTACATCGAAAAAGGGGCGTCGTCGACGACCCCCTCCAGCCCCGCTCTCTGCGCTTCTGACACCGGAGAGTGGCATGCTATAGCTGCGGAGCAATTCACTTCACACCGTAGAGAGGACACTCCTCGGAAATGGGTGTACAGTTTGTCATTGAGAAAACGTTTGAGTCTGCTGTCACGCCCGTGCTTTGCTGTAGTTATGTCACGAGAACTCAAGGATATCTTACCGCAACCACATAGAATTAGTTTCACGTCGTCAAATTTCATTGAATATATGTCATTCTTTTCTTACTAAATAGTGTGTCTAGTTTTGAAAGATACTTATTTTAGGTCCAAAACTTACCATCACCTCCGACTTCTAATTTTGGGAAGCGATGGTGTCGGAAAAAGTCAACTGTGGGACGGTCTTCGTTCAGAAGCTGTGCAAAAGAAATCTCCATCTCAGGTGATTCCATTGATATTTTCAGCTTTTCTCAAAGTGTACGAGCCTTTGGGCATGGATACGGGGTCAAATTGTAGATGTAGTCTTTTCTAAGGCGACCATGGCTTTGAGATTGATTAGTTGGTAGCTAGAATCGACAGTTTCTTCTTAGTAAGCGCCATGTAAAGGTACGATCCATGACTAGTTCCCTCTTGAACTGGTGGCGCGGTTGGATTAGTGATTTCGTAGAGCAAGAGCAGACGAAAAATTTCGCTCAGTGTTCTGATTTTAATTGCGAAATCGACAATACTACAGTGAGCAAGAACATTGCAGGGTGAAAGCGTTCGCATAGCTGAGTGGAAGTTTGAAGCAAAGAAGCAGAAAGGCGAGGCTGCTCTTGGTCCGATCGGCTTCTCCGCATGGGACTTCACCGGCCAAGTACAGTTTTTCGTGCTAGATTTGCCAACATTTCGTTATTGTGCTTCTCGATAAATCTGCGAAGTCCAACTTTCAGAGGGAGTATCATGCCACGCACCATTACTTTCTCACCCGTCGAACGCTTTATGTTGTGG